TATTATTATTATTATTATTATTATTATTATTATTATTATTATTATTATACTACTATTATCATATTAATATTATTATTATTGTCGCTACTCTACTAATAGCAGTAATATTTCTGTCACTATCGAAGATTAATCATATGCAAAATCCATATGTTAGTATCGTTACTAATTTTCATTCGTTCGTTTTATTTTCTTTCTTGCATCGTTTTTTATATCTTTATTTTTTACGTTTTTTCTGTACATCTGCCGCTGCTTAATTAGGCTTGGAATTCTTTACTATTAATACGTAACAGTATATATGTTTTAATATATTTTTCTTAACAATATGAGAATACTTTTGTCAAATAGTGTTTAAATAGTTTTGAAACAGGAGCATCGAAGATTAATCACAGCTATTATTAATAATATTAGTATTGTAGTTGTTGTACCATTACTGTTATTATTATTAACTGTTTTTGATAATATTGTACGTAGTATTATTATTTAATGTCAATTTAATGGTACTATAATACTCTATTATTTAGCAGTAGTTGCACCATTACCTATCATTGAAGATCAATCACGTGCGATTTCTTTTTAAAATTCTAGAGCCTTCGTATCCACGGATCCAGTTCATTGCGATTCATAAAGAGCATATATTCGCGAATTTATATTTACATAGGAAAGTAGAGTAAATAGTAGTAGCAGATTTTCAAGAACAGTGTATATAATTGTAATTCTTTTCCACACTTTGACTTATTTTTTATTTTTTGATCGCTTGAAAATTTCATGGCGAGAGCTTTCGAACATATTCGTATAATAAAATAACGTACTCAGTTACTAATGTTTATGTATAAATTTTATTACATCACGCGATTTCTAATTATCACTACTACTGTCGCTGCGTACGCGGATTTCTTCCAACATTATACGATCCTTTTACTTTACATTTCTTTCGTGAAACATTCTTACGCCACAAACGATAATAATATACAAATCGTTCCCCTTTTATAATACGCCGCGGCAGTCCTTCCGGCATCGATTTTTCGCATGGAACTTGGCTTCCCGTGTGAGCCGAACCAGCTTCGAAGGGTCCGCGAAGAGTCAGCGGCTTGAAAAGGTCAACCACGATCTGACACGAAGCCCGGTGGTTGTTCGCCCTCCTCTCCCTTTCCGTCCTTTCCCTTTCCTTCTCTCCCCCTGTAAATCCCCGGTTGTTGTTGTCTCCGTTCCACCTTTCCCTTCCCGTCCTCCTCGACTCGCCCAGCAAGTGACGAAAAACGCTTTCGCGCGGGATAAAGGAAATTTTCGAGAGAACGTGGCGTCAGGTCGGAAGGTATCCCGAAAGGAAGTTTATCCGGCTAAGACGACAGTTTGCGGCTTTTTTTCCACCGTTTTAATATCGATCGGGGGGGGGGGGTTGGTTACTCTGCTCGCTCCTCCGGTTCTCTCTCTTCTTCCGTTTCGTCGTCGTCCTCCATTTGCCGGTGTCCTCTTGTACACCATATATGTGCATCGAACAACGACGCGATCTTGGGTGATCCACGTGTCAAGTAAATTTCTAATCACTCGTCTAATGAAAAATTGTTAAACATGCCAGTTGCGTTAGGAGATAGGTTTCAACAGAGTCAGAAAATGGTGTGTTTTTGATATGATATGATATGGAGATGCTCCAAAATTTTTTAAGATCAGCGTTGTTTCTTTAAAAAGAATCATATATCTTTTGCCATGAAATATTCAATCTACATTCGACTTAAATGTAATGCTAGCTGTACATTAGTATCATTCGAGCGATTACATTCCAGTGGTTTGACTAGAAATCGATCACTGTCTATATTGTCCCGCTCTGTTTTTAATCGCCGTGAAGGGAAAGAAAATTCAAAGCAATTGTGGTGAAAATGGAAAAAGAGGTAGAAAAATAAGAATAAATAATAGATGGATGAGGTGGAACGAGAGAAAAGGAAAAAACTCGAAATTCATGATTCTCAGCCAGCTAAATCCTTGGAAATAATTTTAGTTATTGTGTTATCGTAAATTTTATTGTGTGTTGTTTTATTATTATATTTTTATATTTATATTATTATATTATTATTATATTATTTATTGTTTTACAATTATACTATTGTAATTACTTGACTAGCATAAAAGTTCGCATATCAAACCGATGCAAGTGTTAACTGATGCATGTTTCTTTGACCACGTATATCTTAGAAATTAATCGTCGAGTCAGATTGGAAATTTTCTATGGTTGATGTTCGATCGTAAATTCATCATTCAGTGCTAAATTTAATTCCAAAGTCGGAAGAAAAACAGGCGATTTTTTTTCGATCAGCGCAAAATCGCAGTGACATTCTACAGAATCACTCGGCATCACTGATGCGAGGTCACAAATAGATCAGAGTCTAAGACTCGATGCGAATATGTAGATGTAATGTCTCTGCAGTATGACTTTATTATTTCCATCTTCGTCTAGCAGTAATTCTATCGACACGTTGAGAGTCGAGGAATAATTTATCATAATGTTGTACAATTAGAGACTCTGGGTTGAACAAACACCGAGGAAAAATCTATGAAACAAATTCTTCTTGGAAATTCTATTTCGTAACTATAATAATATTAAAGAACAGCTTCGAACAGTATGAAATAATTTTTCAACATTAAATTCTGGTAATATATTTCTATTTTTTTAAATTTATGAAATATATATTATACAATGTGTCGATGTAACTCTGATATTATATTGATATCGGTTCATTAATTCTAGTACGACACTATTAGTGTGTATAGAGTTACAGACATCGAATTTTAATCACATTTGCATAAGCTTCTCTTTTTTTATATTTTTTCATCCGTTAATCGATGCAGCTCGACATTCTGTAAGAAAAATATATCAAAAAGTTTTTAACATAGAAGATATTTTAACTTTAATTTTGAAATGGCTATACCGCAATAACAGAATATGCAATTTTTTTTTTTTTTTTAAATCAATCTTCTCGACTTTATCAAATATAGCCCCTCAAGTGTTCTCAGTGCAAACAGTTTGTATCATCCCGAATTTACAACGCTATGAAAATCAATAGATCTAAAATTATAACCACGTGTATCGAATTTCAATTAGGTTTGCCTCCTGTCTTTCATCCTTCTAATTGTTTCCACGTAGATCGGTGTTAAACGTATTGACGAGAGAACGTCGCGTGATTTGAAGTAATAAACTGCCTGGGAAACGATCGGCGGGATCGAGTCGCGATCACAGACCACTCGGAAAGTTTTGGCAGCCGAGGAAATATTCGCCTGCTTGGTGGTGGTTTTTAGCCAGAGGAGCCTCTCGTGTTCTTTTTTTTTCTTTTTTTTTTGCAAACAGGCAGAAATCTAGAAGAGAGGCGAGCGTGATTTTATCGGAAGAGCTCTCCGGCTTGTTAGAAAGTCTGCACTTTTGAATCCACCGCGTGTCCTCCACAAAAGATTTTACGCGCCATTTTAATCTTCTTGTTTCTACTCACTTCCGCAAAGATCTCTTCCCATTGTAAAAATACTTGTGCGTGTACGCGTGCGCGAGATAAGATTAGAGTTGTGTTCGTTAAAATTGAACGTCAATTCTCTTCAAATTTTCGGTGCGTTTCTCTTCTCAAATCGTCACGAGTTCTCTGCTCGTGATGCTGCTTTCGATTTTTTTTTTTTTTTTTTTACAATATTGCGCATTTTTCTTTCAACCATCGAACTCGGATGCTGGTAAAAAGTAATTGCAGTTTAGATTGAGTAACTGTATTTCGCGTAGATCGTTTCTCGTTGCCGTTGACATCAAAATATATATATAAAACAAAATGGCTGGAAACATTTTGCACGATTGAACAACCTTTCGATGTTGCGAATGCTGTTTGCCTGGAACAAGAATTATTTATTCGATCCGATTTGTGTTCTATATGAAACAGAATTTATTGGACAAAACAGTAGTATGAGAACACTTGGTTTTCTATAAATACTTATTATGAATTTTAACTAACACTAGTAAACAAATGCATACTAGTAAGAAGCGTGTCACTTTGAACTGTTATCTCTTTAATGAACAAACTAGGATCTAATTTTATTCAAAACTAGTTTCTCGCTTCTCTTGGGAAGTGTTCAATGGATCAAGAAAAGTATCGACACATCTAATCTTTCGACAATATCTTGTCGTTCTAACAAGTTGCTCGTTATCGGACATTTTTAAATACTCGAGTGATTTCAAATAAAACACATTAATAGAAGCTTATGCTCTCTTTCTCGTACCTTGCACTTTAATTCCTTCGCTACGAATATTACACTTTAATAACCGATAGTTTCCAGTGTCAAAATTCAGCTTTCGAACGCGAGTGCAAGAAGAGTCAAAGAGATCCAGGCAAGCGATTTTGTACGCGCGTCGAAACAATGCTCGGTTCATCGCAACGTGAAAATCGATAAGGAAAAAGAAGCAACGCGGTCTATGTGTGTGTCGTCTGCCTGTCAGAATCTTGTTCTCGGGTATACGTATAACACGGATATACTTCCCTCCGTTGTTGCATACGTCTCCCGGTTTTCCCATACGATAAAACGACAATGTTCCCACCTGTTGTTTATCATCTTTCGACCGACGGGAAAAAGATATTGCGTATTCACCCTTCTGCTCTTCTATCGGTGAAACCCGTAGGTAAACGATGTTGTTCCGTATCGATTCGTTCTTTTTCCTTGTTTCTTTCATTCTCCTCTGGATTATTTAACCCTTTTGTGACGGATCGCTTTCTTTCTCGACAATCGACGCATCTGGAGTTGAATGATTTAATTCTGCACCTGTGAAAGAGAATATTTTTGAAAGTTTGGGATATTATTGCTTCGTCAAGTCTTTTATATTGGGA